TGTCCCATGTAGTCAGCCCATCCCTGGAAGAATCTTCCCTTGGAAATTCTGGAATCATCCTCATTCTTAGGGCAGCTCCTCCTAGCAGATCAGCTTTCCTGGTTCCAAATCACTTGCAGAGCTTCCCCAGGTAAGGCTGCTAAAAGCTATTAGTGATAAGACTCAGTGCAATCTAGTAAGGCCTAATACAATCTCTTACATTTGGTCTTCCAGTGACTAGTTCATGTGGTCAAAATCAGTTGAAATAGTATGGTGCTAACCTTATTAACAACAGAGATATAAGACAAACATCAAATTAGGAACCCATAATTCACCTGAAAGTTCAGAGAATTTCAGTTTTCACATACAATTTGCTCTGTCTTTACCTGAAGCCTGTGCCTGATATGGACAATGCCATCTATGCTGAAGAAGAATTTTTTTTGTCTATGCAATGGGGTTAAGTGACTTGACCAGGGTCACACAGCTAGTAAGTGTTATGTGTCTGAAGCCGAATTTGAACTCAGGTCCTCCTGACTCCAGGGTTCTATCCACTATGCCACCTTGCTGCCCCTGAAGAAGAATCTTGAAAAAAGGATCCATGAAGGCCCGACTTATAAAATGAGTCCTTCTCTCTCTTAATATTATCAGAGACTTCAAAAGAGGAAAAAAAACCTATTATTTAAAATTTTATTTACAATATTAACGCAATTTTATATGTAAACTCCTTAATCTAATTTTGATAAGCTATTACTAAAAATAATCAAAACATGTATATCTCAGAAAAAAAGAAGAGAAGAAAAAAATTAGTTCATTTGTGTATATTAGATTGAACCTGGATGTTTAATACTTTCCAGTATTGTCATCAGGATTAAAAGGAAAAAAAAATTAAAAATCATAAAAATACCATATCCAGGAACATTATATTTGTTTGTCCTGGAAAGCTGAACTAAATCAAAGGGATAAGTAACAGGGAAGCAGATTTTAGTTCAATGTTAGGAAAAGCTTCCTAGCAATAATGAGAGTTGTGCAGAAATGGAATAAGCCACCAAAATGGATACTCATGGAACCCCAAGCCTCATGGAGCTGAGTCTGGGCCATGCCAACTCCCTGGTGAGAGGTGATGGTCAATGATATCAACGTTCACCTTTGTGAGGCAGAAACCCTACATCTGCCCTCATGGCCCCAAACCCCTCACTGGCCCTACACCTGGACTCAGGAGCCCCTCTCACCCTTGGGCCCATGGTCAGCCCCTCTGGGGGCTCCATTGCAGAGGCCAGAGACTAATGGTGTGGAGCACTACATTCATTGTCATAAACAGTCAATGTGTTGCTTTTGCTTTTTTTTTTTTAATACTGTGTAAGGGGGTGTTTTCTTAATGAATAAGATTTTAAAATGAAAGGTATTGATAGCAATAACATTTTAAAAAGTTGGTGTTCCTTCTGATGCTGAGTGAAGTGAGCAGAACCTGTAGAACATTGTACACAGTAACAGGAACATTGTGAGATGACCGACTTTGATAATCCACTTAGGTCTTCTGAGCAGTGCAATGATCTAAGACAACCGCAAAAGGCTTACGATGGGAAACACTAGCCACATGCAGAGAAAGAACTATGGAGTCTGAATGAAGATCAGATCATACTGTTTTCACTTTTTTTTTGTTTTGGGGTTTTTTTTAATGGTTTTTCCCTTTTGTTCTGTTTCTTCTTTCACAACATGATTAATGTGGAAATATATTTAACATGATTGCACAGGTATAACCTATATCAGATTGCTTGCTGTCTTGGGGAGGAGAGAAAGGAGGGAGAAAAATTTGGAACTCAAGATCTTATAAAAATGATTGTTGAAAGCTATCTTTACAAGTAATTAGAAAAAATACTATTTAGAAAATAATGATGTTCCTTGAATGGCATTGCTTTTTTTCTAGATATTAGAGTGGAGAACCTGGGGCCTCAAGGCCACATGTGGCCTTCTAGGTCCTTGGGTGAGGCTTTTTAACTGAGTCCAAGTTTTACGGAACAAATAATTTTATGAAGGGGATTTGTTCTGTGAAGTTTGGATTCAGTCAAAGGGCTACATTTGAGGACCTAGAGGCCCATATGTGGCTTCAAGGCTGCAGGTTCCCTACCCCTGGGCTAGAAGTATCATATTTACCATATGTTTACAGGGATAGTTTTGTTAAAAAGCTCTCTTTAACTTCCTATTGGGATCATTCTCTGTGGTTATTTAGGGAGCAGACGGAGACAGTCAGAAAATGGCAGTGACCTTCTCCTTTGGCATGACTGGCTGCTCTCATTCCTTTTCCTATGCCATGGAAGATTCTGTCATGGGAACTTCCATTGCTTGGACAGAAGGATACACCTCAAGCAGAGCATGCTGAACTATCCCCTCTGTCTGCTGAGACAGAAGCTGGAGGAGAACATGACAGAGCTAGAAAACAGGAGTGGCTTAGGGGTTTTGATTGACACCTTGTCAGAGCTCCCACTTCTTCCTCAGGTAGCCGAATATACCCAACTCTGTTTACAAGAACATGAGAACACTATATATATAATTACATGAGAAAATGCTCTAAATCATTATTGATTAGAGAAATAAATGCAAATTAAAATGACTTTGAGATATCTTACACCTATCAGATTGGCTAAAAGGATAGATGTCCTTCGGTTGAGGAATGGCTAAATAAGCTGTGGTATATGATTGTGATGGAATACTGCTATGATATAAGAAATGGTGAGCTGGTTGATTTAGAAAAACATGGAAGGACTTGGACCTATGGAAGGAAGATGCTATCCACCTCCAAAGATAGAACTGACAAATAGAAATGTGCATAGTATGGTCTTACATATATGCATGTGTGTGTATATATATATATATATATATATATATATATGTTTAATTGTAGCCTTCCCCAAGGAGAGGGAGAGAGGAAGAAAAAATAAAAATACACAGTGAAGAACAAAAGAAAACCTAGAAGGAAGCACAGAAAAGGTGGGCTTTGAAAATAATGTGTAGGATTTATTATATAGGTTTTCATGAAATGGAAATTGTTTCATATTCAATCTTCTCTCATGTTCTGCGGTATACATGGAAATGCTATTTTTTTTTGTTTGGTTTTGTATTTAAGTTTAAAATGAAAGCATTTTCTTTTAAAAGAAAACCAAAAAACCAAGGGCAGAGGATGATCTTGTGGGAAGCTCATTCTCCCTACTGGATTCACCTTTTTAGACAGAACTCAGAGTGGCTTGAGTTGTCCAATCCAAGTTAACAGCAGCTAAGCCCTCTTAGCATAAATGATAGAGAGAAGGGAGAAATGTAAAGTCCTGCACTTGGGTTCTATAAATTACCTTGGCAAGTAGAGGGTGAGGGAGCCGTGGCTCAAAGCCAGTCCACATGACTAAGGCTCAGTATGAGTTATCTAGGGGACATGGCAGCCAAAAAAAGTAAGTACAGTTATCCCTTCCAAATCTCGACCTTCCACTTCATGGTTTTGATATATTGCAGTAGGCATAATAAATTAAATGGGAATTTTTGAAGAGTTTTATGGAAGTCGCAGAGGCAGATGAAGGCCAGCAGATGACAGAAAAAGTTAACAAACTCAGAAATGCCTAAAATATATGTATAGTTTTGTAGAATATCAACCCAAATTTTACAATAAGCTACCGTAAACACTCCATAAAAGAAAAAGACTTCTTCTGTGGTACAAAGGGAGGGCAAAGTATTTTATGCAGATTTTCCAGATTGGGGAACCCCTTTCCCCCATATGGAAGGGATAACTGTAGTCTAGGTCTGTTTAAATGAACAAAGAACAATATGCATATTTCTACTAGTCAGTGGCAATCTTGTGGTTCCAGAGTTCTCACTTATTATTATTTGGATTTACACAGGATTCAGTGATATAGAACCTTTGCTGGGGTTGGATGTGTGTATGTGTACTCGCACGCCATATGAGTGCACAGAGTAGGCTCCCTTGACCTCTTTCAGCCCTTCTCTTAAGAGGTATATCCTGGCCATTAACAGTTAAACCAATGAAAAAGGCAGAAGCCTCCTCTCTGTGAAGCAAGGATCAGTCTGGGGGTGGGGAACTGAGGATTCAGTCAAAGCGCTGCACTTGGGGATCTAGAGGGCCACATGTGCCCTCAAAGCCTGGATTAGTCTCTCTGAGTACTGGAACTAGGGAGGTTTTCCTGTATTATTCTATCTACTCTCTGGAAAAGACTCCCTTTTGGAAAGGAGGGATTACATTAGTGTGTAAAAAGGAAAACTGGAGCCCCTGTCTAATGGCATGTGTGAAATGTAAGCTCCTTGAGGACTGTAATGGTTTTTTGGCTTTGTGTCCCAAATCTTAGCATGTGGCCTGGCATATAGTAGGTGCTTAATAATGGTTTGTTGAATGGAAAAATCCAATTCAAGGAATTGGAGCCATCTCTGGAAAAGAAGATTGTCCCCACTGATAGTGCCCTATTACCCTTGTCAGTGACCAGGATTCCAGCAAAACTTGTGCAGATCTTTGCCATGTTTCAGCATTGGGTCATTTTCCTTCCAGTTTTATCCTTCAATACCCTTGGGGTGATTTCAGTTAGCTGAATTGCCCCATTGCACTCCCCATTAAAACTTCAACTCTTGCTCTCCCCACAAAACAATACATGAGCACTCACATTTACAAATGTGTATATAGAGAGAACATATTAGTATTCATATACATATATAGAGAGAATATAAGTACTCATATATGTCAATATACAGAGAGAATGTAGGAATCCTCATCTATGAGGAGATATGCCCCAATATTCCACCATGCTTTTCCATGAGATTTTAGAAATGACTTTGTGTTCTAAACCCTTTTTTTTTTTGCCTTTGGCTGACAGATCTCAGTAAATTAGTAAAATGTTTCTTAAGGCCCATTTTTGATGCCCCCAAATTATTTATATCAGTTATAATTCTATATGAAATGATTGTGGTAGGAGTGCGTCTTTTTTTTTCAGTGCCCATATCCTTTTTAATCATTAACAACACATTCAAATAGATCAGGTTGGAGTGAGTTTTAATGCATGCCACAGTGTTTTAGATTTATGCTTCCAGTCTTTTCAATAATAGGTAGCTGGTTTAACCTTCCATCACTGAAGCTGTTGTAGAGTTCCTGGCAAAGGTGTTATCATGTACATGTGGCATCATTTTTATGGACAATTGGTTTTACTTCTGGCCTCATGCTCTTTGTCTTCATGATATTTGCAGCAGAGATACAATCTTAGTGATGTCCGTGAGGCTCGTTTCTGAAGGTTCAGGAACAACCCTTGTCCTTTGAGGTGACAAAACCCGACATACCTGCCCAGAGTGGGAAACAAAAGGCACATGAACTCTGGTCAAAGGGTTGTTCAGGCTTCCTTTCCCACCCTGATTCCCAGAGCCCCCTTCTGCAGTCCAAGCAGATCCCTTTGCACAGCTGAAAACTTCCCCCTCCGTTCTGTTGATAATTTGCACCTTCTTTCCCATCACTGAAAGCCCAACTGCCACCCAGCCCACCTCCACCAAGCAACTCTTGATCCCTGCCTCTCCAGGGTTTGCCTCCTTTAGCCAAGGCTTTGCCACCACTACCACATTTGGCATGTCCAAGGCACACTTTTTCCCTCAATACACTGGGAGTTGTCTGAAGGCAGAAAACAGGGACCTTGCCTAGGCTAACACCTCCAAGCCCCAGGAAAAACATTCAAGTAGGGCTCTGAGTGAAGCAGCTAGGGGTCATCTCCTTTATTTGACAAATGGAAGCAACTCAATTCAGGGAAGGCAGGGGGATTGGCTCAAGCTCACCCTGCTAACTACGTATCCCAGGCTGGCCCAAAGCCAAGGGGCTTTTTTTTTTTTACCCTCTACTTAACTAGATCATTGTAACTCTAAACCCTTGCCCCCACACCACTAGCTCTATGGGTAAGCTGGCCAAATCTCACTGTAGGCAGTAAACTGCTTCTGAGGAGTGCCTTCCAAGAGACCTTCAGCCCATGAGGCTTGGCTGTCAGAGAAGGGAGAGGCCAAGATGGGAGCCTGGCAGGCAGGAGAGACTTGGACTCAAGATCTGGATCTGCCCCTTAGTGGTGGGGTGACCTTGGCCATGTCCCTGCCCTCCTCTTGAACTCAGTTCCCCTTTCTCTTTTTTGGACCAGATGAGCTCTGAGGTCTCTTTTAGCCCTCCACTTTACCCAAACTCCACCCCCATACCACCAGTCCCCCAACCCCCAGCAAACCCCCTTACTCCCCCAATCCCCCCCGCTCAGAAAACCCTGCTAGTGTAAAGGGGGCAGCCCCCCAATCATCAAGTTCCGTCCTTATTCTAACCCTAAAGATTGGATTAGAATCCAATGGTTCTTCTTGGACCTGCCTTTTAAATCAGAGGCCTCCTCCCACCCCCGCCCCCACCTCACAGAGACTATCAGACCTCAGAACTCAAGGGGGTGGAAGGGCAAAGTCCCGGAGGCACCATTTGGGGACCGTTACCCTACCTTGGGCGCGGGTCCAGGGTTCTCGGGTAAGATGATTCGTGACCGCTTTCGGCCCCTCTTCCGGCGTCTGAATCTCCGCGGGACGTTGGTCTGGACCCCTGGCATGTCTCGAACTCCAGATATTCACTCCCAGCCCTCGGAGTGGGGTACTGAAGGAGTCGTGAGCTGAACAGAACTGAGCCTGGGCGAGACCAACCCCGCGATGATGTCTGCCTCCCTGTGACGTCGAGACCCACCTTTATGAGGCAGGAGCTCCGCACCTGGCAACCCCGCCCCCACCCCCCTTCACCGGTCCTAACGCCTGGACCCTGGTGCTCCACTCCTGTTGGGCTGTGGATCAGCTCCCCTGCCCCTCCCCTCCTCCCCTTCCCCCACCCGCTGGGGCTAATTTTAGCCGTCTTCTGTCCTCCACCCCTCCACCCCCAGCCCTCCCCTGCAAGTGGCCCCCGCTATAAGTGGGTTTATCTGCCATCTGCCATTCCTGGCACCAAGCAGGGAGGGAGGAGGACCAGTAACATGACAGGTGTCCTAATATATGAGTATTCATATATACACATATATGAATATGTAGCAAGAATCCAATAAAAATAAAAATAGTAACACTAGATTGACTTGTATCTTCATATCCACGAGTACTCATATTTTCTCTCTATTCATATACGGTAGTACTCTTGGATTCTCACTACATATTCATATATATGTATATGAGCACTCATATTGTCTCCTTATATCCATATGTATAAATTCTCCTTATAGTCTTATGTATGAGTATTCTCTATGCATATATATATATATATATATATATATATATATATATATATATATCCGCACTCATATATTCTCTAATGACATGTAAGCCTTCAGATAACCTACAGATTCTCAGGCACGTGTTCTCATAAATTATCTAAATTCTTATGAGTACTCACATTTTTGCTGTACATACATTCATATATATGAGAACTCAAACATTCTTTCACAAGGTGAGAAGTAGTGGAGGCTTAAAGAATGTTCAGTGAGAGATCCAGCTAAGCTAAGTCCTCCCATGGGCATTGAAGGATGGAACTGGAAGGAAGATGGTAAAAAGAAGACAGGGAGAGAAAACTGCCAAGGTTTTGCCTGAATTCTGAACACTCTAAAGGGTAGTCTTCCACTGTCCCTGGCAATGTTTCTGTGAGCTAGGTGGCTTGACTTTGATTTATCAATTCAATAACAATATAGAAAGCACCCACTCTGTGCCAGGCATTGTCCTCAGGGTGGGGACACAAAGACAGAAAACACTTCCTGTGCCCTGGGAGCTGTAGTTCCCTATAGGGCATTCACCCCCTAGACTTTCTCCCTGAGCTAATGTAGGAGCTAAAATTCCCTTCCTACTTCCTACTGCAGTCTCTCCTTCTTGAAGGCGAGTCTCTGGTTTGGGAGACCACAGTTCCACAGATCATCAGCTCAAGATTCCCCTATCAGCAACCTCCAGCACTTTGTAGAAATAGAACAATCTGTCCCAAGAAATAAACCAAGGCCCATGAGGCTGAGGGGTGGAGAAGGGGCTCTGGTGACCCTATGATTCTCTTTGCACAATCTGTGACTGGGGAATACAGACATAGCGCTACCAGGCCTCATAATCTGTAAGACAGGAAGATATGGGACCCTGGGATGCTCTCAGAAGGATCTACCCATGATCAGTCCTCAGATCTTTTATTTATTTATTTTTAAATTTTTATCTTATTTTTAGTGTTCCTGTTGGTTTTTCCAGCACATTCATTTCTGAATATATTGCTCCCACTTCCCACGCAACAAGTCATACCTTCTTCCAAAAGAAGAAGAAATAACACCCATCAGTTCAGGGTCAGTTCACATAGCCTCTAGGTTTATAGCTCTCTAATGCACTCATTGGGTAAACAAGGTATTTGAGCAGTGTTTGGCCTCTCCTACTAGATTCTAGTAGGTCTAGTAACTAGACCTTAAGTGCTACAAGCGTTTGGACTGTCTTCTCTAGACTTTGCACTTCCCCCAGTACCAAGATTGGCGTTATTCCAAATGATACAGGTTCAGTTAACGTTTACCGAAGTTCAGCCATTCCAGAAAACAATGACACTAAAATCCCTGGGACATGCCTTTTGTTCAATGATAAAACCGCTGGACATACACCTCCAGGATATCAGAAAGTGTCCCACCTACTGGGTGGCCATGAGGGCTTAGTACAAGTAGAAGTTCTTAAAGCTTTAATAACTTAAAGTTTGGGACATGTAAAGATTTATTCTTAGCAACACTATGTGGTAGCAAAGAATTGGAAACAAAGAGTAGGGTTGATTAGGAAATGGATAAAATGAATTGTGAGGAACCAAGGAGGGGATAAGCATTAATTACTTGTTTACTATGGGCCAGGCACTTTGCTAAACTTTTCATGAAAATTGTTTTATTGAAGTGTCAAAACGACCCTGTGACATGGGTGCTATCATCTCGATTTTAGGTTGTGGAAACTAAGGTAGTGGGAGTTGACCTGAGTTGCATTGAGTCTCACACACCTAGGCAGTGGTTGAGGCCACATTTGAACTCGGGTCTTCCTGACTCTGGGGCTGCTAGGTGATGCATTGGATAGATCACTTGGCCTGGAATCAGGAAGACTCCTCTTCCTGACTCAGAAACTACTAAAAAATCGAAAGGAATGACGCTGCTATATTTTGTCGTTCATTCATATGTGAGCCCTTTTTCTCTATCTATTCAAACAAGTATGCCACTGTTTCTTTCCAGGTGAGGGAAGACATGGATTCATATATGAAGAGAAAGAATATGATGATTCATATAACAACATATAAATATATATAGAGGAAATGAGTACTCACAAATACAAATAGAAAGAATATGTAAGACCTCATTTAAGTGAAGATAGAGAATATATACATACTTATACGTAAATGTATGCTGAGCATGTATGAATAATCAAACATAATAATGAGGGATATAGAAGTACATATATATGTATTATATCTTCTCTATATATGATTGCTCACATATATGAATAGAGAACACAGAAGGACTTATGTGTGTGTGTAGATCTAAAGAAAGGATACATAGGTATTCCTCCATGAACAGAGATAGATAATACTGGAGTATTCATATCCATGAATGTATGGAAAGAATAACAATACCAATATATATATCTATAAAAAATATGTGAATACTCCTATGTGACAATACTGAGAGAGCATATATAAATACTCAAACATAAGAAAAGTCGCCATTTTCATCCACTTTTTCAATGAGATTGTACAAATGAGTTGATGTTCAAAATCTGTTTTCCCCATGGCTATCCCATCTTTCTCCTTAGAAAGTAAGCCATGGTTAGGCCCAACACTTTAGAGCATCCTTTCCTCACCTCCCAAATACAAATTATTTCTTTTAGTTAAAATTCCCTATGAAATGACTGAATTGGGGTGTGTCTGCGTGTCTGTGTGTGTCTGTGTGTGTCTGTGTGTCTGACCGGCACACATCTGGTGGCACACAACTTTTCCTCAATGCAGATCCCCCTATCAATCATGAGGAACAGAGTGGAATAGGTCACTTTGGAAGAGTTTTTATTCAAAGCCACATTGCATTTTGCTCTGTTTTCTTTTCTCTAATTGGTCAGTGGCCTGGGGCCAGCCAATAAGGCTTCTGATGAAGGCATGCCAGCACTCCTAAACTCCTGTATTTGCTGCATCATTTCTACCTGCAACTTGATTTGGGTTTTTGCCCCATCTTCTTCCTCTTCAGACCATTTGCAGTAGGGAGATGTTCGTAGAGCTGTCCTTGAGGCTGATATCAACAAGCTGGAGCATAGCCCCTCTTCCTAGAAAGAAGCTGATAGACCTGACCAGTTTGGGAAAGGAAAGGGCACATGAAGTTTGGTCAAGGTGTTATTCAGGTTCCTTTCCTCACCCTAATGGAGACCAGATTGGTCCCTTTCTTCAGCCTAAAATTGATATATTTTCTATGATATCAATTTCCACTTTCTTTCCCACCTTTGAAAGGCCAAGTACAGCAAGGTGTTCCTGATAGCACTGTCACCCAGGCATTCCTCCTTTGCCCAACCTCTATCATGTTCACCATGTCCAAGTGACTCCTCTCCCCCGCACTGGGCTATGTGTTTGCTGAGGGCAGGAAACAGCACCCAGACTAGACTTTCACATGCAACTTCCAGCAATCCATTCAAACAGGGCCATGAGTGAAGCCAACAAGATCCTCCCCTCCCTCTCCAACTCCCCCCCCCCCATTACAAAAATGGAAGAAGCCCATTCAGGAAAGGCTTGCTATTTGCTCTGGCTTACCCTGGTAACTCTCTGGGTAACCCGCAGAAATGTCAATTGAGGCAGTAATTTGCTTCAGGGAGTTTTTTCTGAGGGATCTTCAGCCCATGAAGCTTGGCTGTGAAAGGAGAGACATGTCAACATGTAAGCCAACTAGGGTGGCAAGAGAGAGCAACCTGGGCTCAGGGCCTAGTTCAGCTACTTCCTGGCTCTGTCACCTTGGCCATATCCCTTGCCCTCTTCTTGACCTCAGTTACCCTTTCTCACAGATGAGCAGGTTGGACCAGATGACCCCTAAGGTCTCCTTTAGCCCCCCATGTCCTAAAATGCCACAAGTCCATTCAGAGCTACTCCTCCACACCACCACCCCACTCACTCACCCATTCCAGCAGAGAAAAAACCATGCTAGTGCAATGCTTTCCCTGGAGGCAACTGCCAAGCAGGAAGTTCGGCCTGCAGACCAGTGATCTGATTTGAAAGCCTGGAATGAAGGCCCTGGGTTTGTCTGCAGCTGCCTCCTGGGCAGAGGTGTTGGGCACTGCATGGACTGGCTGCCCTTAGAACCACAGGCGGTGAAAAGTGAAGCTCAGAGAAGTACCACTTGGAGACCATTACCCTATATCCAAAGTAATTTCGAGGTCTTTGGGCAGGTGCAGTGTGGCCCTAGCGACCCGCCAGCCTCAGGTGGGCATTCAGCTACTCTCTGGCAATCTCACACCCTGCCGGATTTGAACTCTTGGCGGACCCTAGGGGTACTGAGGGAACAAGGGGCGGAGCAGAGCTGATGGTCCGGGACGGCAGCGAGCTCCTTTGTGAGGCAGCAGCCCACTCCCTCAGCTGCAAACGCCGCCCAACCCTCCCCTCCTCGTCACCGGCCCCCCGCTGGGACGCGGGCACCGCACTCCCCTTCTGCCCAGCCGTTGGTTCGGCGACCCCTCCCCTCGGCCACGGGCGCTCCTGGGTTCATTTTAGCTGCCCCACTCCCCAATAGAACCTCAGCCAAGAGAACCTGACAATTGTCCTCTGCTAAG